TCACGGGGGTGCCACAGAGCTTCCCCATCGTCGTGACAGCCACTGTCACAGGCCACCCTGTCCGTTTTCCTCCTCCTCCTCCTCCCAGAAAGCCCTTCTTTGCTAGAAAAGCCAAGACTAAACACGGTTTTGTATTCAGGTTTTGAAAACAGACCCACCTCTCCTGTCCCCTCATTTTAACCTCACCTGCTCATCACTTCATAAACATCAATCTGCAGCGTTCGGAATATGTCGAGATTCACATCCACGCTGGCCCATGGGGTTTAATGCCTCCTGAATGTCCACTCATCCTCGTGCATCCCCTGGGGACAAAAGGAGAGCCAGAGCACCACGAGAAGATTGGCAGACAACCATTTTAAAAAATTACTTTCAAGAGGAAAATGTCTGCAAAACATCTCTCGGACTTAAAAACAAAAATGACACCGGTCCATGTTTCCTACAGTTCTGACATGTCAGCCAAACGTATTTTTTATATATAAAATATAAATATATATTACATATTTTATGTAATATTTTAATACTGTGTTTATTGTCATATTACTTAAATATTTATATATTGTTTTACTAAATATTTATTCATATAACAATATGTATCAATATGTTTAAAATATATATATATTATTTAAAGGCCACAATTAAAAAAGCCAGCCAGCTGTGTTGAAAAAGAAAGAAGAGCAATTTTGACAGAAAGTGGCCTTTGCCTCTTCAGAGCTGGGGTTGCCTTCTGGAAACTTTCTTTTTGGCCTTAGAAAATGTCAAGACTGACGTTTAGCTTCGTTCCTGCTCCATGAAAGAGAAAGGAAACCCAACCACTTTCTTGGAAGCAGGAGATGGTCTGTGCTAACGCCAGGGCGGGCACGCGCACCCTCCAGACACCGCTCTCGCCCAGGCAGCTCGACCCTCGCCGGCATGGACACAGCGCCTGCTCCAAGGGCCCTCGCCGGCATGGGCACAGCGCCTGCTCTGTGGTGCTGCTACCGAGCCAGGCAGGCTCTGCCCCGCAGCTCTGCCCCCGCGACACCTCCTTGGCCACAGAGCACCACCCTTCTCCTTTCGTTCCTCACATCAGATTCCTTTCCAGATTTACCAGTACCGTTTCATGCCATCATTTTGTTCCTCTGCATTTATCTTGTTCCTTCCTAACAGCAACCTTCTCTAATTCCTACCTCCATACACACCTTTCACGTTCCCTAGCCACATCTGCTGAACGCCCTTCCTTCTCTGACCCCAGGCCCAGTAACCACCCAAACGCAACCTCCCCGAGGAACCGGCAGTCGCAGACACAGAACCTCACCCCGGGGGATCTCACTCACCAGCAGTTTATTCAGGTCTCCCTCAGCCAAACCACGTTTGTATTTACACTCCCTGCGTTCGAAGCACCGTCAGCCACAGCATCGCGTACTCTCGTCCAACCCGCCTGCAGTCTCGGATTCCGACCCGAAGCGCACCTGCAATGACTTCGTGTCTCCTTGCTCTCTCTGCATTGCAAGGTCAGCAAGTTCTTCAGCCGCCCCGCTACCAAAGCGCGGGTGCCCTGACGCACGCTCCTCTCTCTGCCAGCAGCCTGCAGCCCCTGCAAGAAGAGCCCGTACCCTTACCCCTCTATTTCTTGCACTAGTGTGGAAACGGAGAGGCACGGGCTGCGTACCACCAGGCTAGCTTGAAATCCACAGCACAGGCCTCATGGGCTTGACACACCGACTCGCCAAGAAGATCTTCTCTTGTGAGAAGCAGACTCCAGGCTTCTCCTTCGAAGGGTGTTCAAAGAAAGCAAAGCTCCCACTCCTGAAGGACACGCACGTTCCTGTGAACGGACATTCGACATGGCACCAGAAGACAACCGAGCGCTCAAGCAGTCACATTAAATAGTGATATGATAGAACAGCACGTTTTTGGCCTTTATTTGAAGGCTTTTAACAGTTACAGTAAGAATTGTCATTGCAAACCAGGAATTTTTTAAAAATTGAACAATAAAAGTTAAAAAAACATCCACAAGTCCACCTGCAAGTAAGACATGTTGGTACAGAAAGGAGATGGGAGCTTTTGCTTCTTCCATTCTGTTCATTTTTCAAATACCTGCTAGAACTAAGATACTAAGCAAGGTTGGATGCTATCGGAGCTGTTCCGGCAGGTGAGCGTTTAACATTTAACAGCATATACTGTACCAGCGTAACAGAGTAGCCACGTTAGGTCTATGGGTTTGAGTTGGGCTTACTGTTGTTATTTTCTCCCCAAAAAGGACATTAGAAAAACAGATTGTGCCAAGGTATCTACAACGTAGTCATAAGCTGACTACATGAGTTTGTCCCCATTCTATTTCTAACTCATCTTGGTAGCAAAGAAGTGACTTAAGCAACTGGAACTCTGAGCAGCATTTGACTTCCAAGACTCAGCTGCAACTTAATTTTACAATGCACGTCCAACAGGTCCACACATTCAACAGCCTCACAAGGTGCACTAGCAGTACGTCCGACTCAGCGTTCTTAGGGTATTTGCTTGCTTTGCTAGCAGAGATCAAAACCAGCCTAACACAACCCATCTGATGAGCTGGGTGCTGCACGGTTCTGCACATGCAATCTTGTTAAAAAGAGACTCGAAGCAGCCAGGCTCCGGCGCACAACTGGACTGCAAAGAGCAGACACCCACCAAGTCCTCTTCCAATTCAGCCACATGCCATTGCCATCTATTGCTCTGAGTTGCTGGAATAATGGAATATTTAGAGTCGAAAAAATATGCTTCCGACCTCAAAGCAAGTAAGTAATGGTAGAGAAGATTTTATGTGCATCAACACACCCGTTCTACGTCTGCCCTTCTGTAGGCCAACGCCCGTAGGCAGTGCCAGCAACGCCTGCTCTGCAGCGTAAGGTACCCACAGAGCCCTGCGGAGGCAGGGAGGGTGTTCTCCAGCACAACAGGGAAGGCCTGCAGGGAACGCTTCCACCTTCAGGGTTCGACACATCACGTAAGCACTTCTCTGGAGATGAAGGTCTGTGCACACATCTGTGACCGTAACATTTAAGCTCCTCTCTGAAACAGACTTCAAATGAAACAAATCAACTATGTTTACAGTCAATCTGCTCATAGAGACTGCTGACAGATGCAATTAACAGCTTCTTTGTTTATAACTAATAACCACTGTTTTAGCAGTTAAAACGCTTTAAGCACTCTTAAAGTCATGCGACAGCACTGCTGTTACACAGCCCATTCTCACACCGTTGGGAGGAGGAAGCCAGCAATACACTCACTTTGCATCCACTTGGGGGAAGGGGAAAAAACCCCACCCAACCCAAAACTCCAGTTTCCCCCAGCACACTCCAAGGAGTTTCAACATCACCGCTACTCAAGTCAGCAACGACTGCCACTAGGACTGGAGAATAAAAGCTGATCTCCCAAGTTCTGCAAGCTTCATCACAAAAACTATCACAAACTTCAGCTTTGCCTAATCATATCTGAAAGCATGAGAGACTCCAGCAGACATGACACTCTTGAAATACAGAACTTTATTTAGAAACTGCTTAAAATAGAAAAACCCTGTCAAGAAAAATCCAAGTCAAATATGGTTTCCTCAGTCAAATGGAGTTTTAGGGCAACAAAAGTCTAGAAGGCCACAAGAGAAATAGCACCACTGCAATTTTAAACAATGGCTAGATACTTGCATTTTTGGCATTCACTGAATTTGGGTTTTTCTCTGAATTTCACAAAGATTCATGCACTACACAACAATTACCATAAGATGCTCTCCTACACACATTTCAGGACAAGCTACCACCAGAAACAAATGAGTACAAGCACAACAGGACTGATCAATCTCAGTAGTGAAGGGGGATCAGAAGTCTTGCAGGATCTTGCCAAACACAACAGTAATGAGGGGCATGATAGCAGAAAAGGACAGATAAGGAAAGTACTTTAAATATTAATATTTAAGTTAGTCTCAGTACTGTATTTTCTGCAATAACATTAGCTCTGTTAGCCAGCATCTTTTAGTTTTTACCCCAGAAGACTACGGAACTGGCAAGTATTATTATTAGATAAGCCCTGGTTTGAAAGAGAAAAAAAAAAAAAGGAGAAAAATCATCCTCCTCAAGTGCTCAATTCGCTTTCATCCTAAGATAGCTGCACAGTGCAAGTCCTGTTACAACTACTGGACTTGATCAGCGTTCCTTGGGATGGGAAAGGGAAAAGAACAAGTGAGAGACCAAAAAGTATAAAAGCAAAGATAAAAAGAAACCGCACAAACAGAAACAAGAGCCAGGAAAGAAAATTACTTCTGAAGAACATTTTAGGCAGTGAGACTGGATGCCCTTTGCTTTTTTTGTTGTTTTGGTTTTTTATTTTGTTTTTCTTACAGAAAACACAGTACATTTTGGCAAAGTCATTAGCCACAATGCCATAGAAAAGGCTTTAGCACTCTTCAAGGTAATTTATGTGTCTCAGCTGTTCATACTCCCTCTAATCTTGTGACAGGCAACGTTAAGGCCCATTTCATCGAGAACTAATCACGTAGTAAGCAGCTTTACATAGGAATGGCGTTTTGTTTTAATAGCCCCTTTCTGAGCACTTGCTGACACAGCGAGATTGCCATGCAAGGCCTCTCCGACAGCAGTGAACGGACTTCAACGAGCGTCTACCCCAATACGAAGCACATAAAATCTCCTGTCACATTACTTCAATTTGGCATATGGAAGCATATTTTAAATACTCTTAAGGCATTTTATTATAATTTCTGTGCTGCAATTTCACATTAACTCAATCTTTCTGTGAGTCAGAGTCTTTAATTTCTCTACTACAGACCACCTTAGAAACAAAAAGAGTCTTCCCACAAACCAGTGTTTTACCAGCAAACCACTCTGCAACAAGTTCCAAATATTCAGCCTCTTGCTCCCTAAATATACCGCCTAGATGTGAATACTGCTCTGCTACGAAGTGAGAGCGAGCTCCTAACTCAAACCCACTGTAAAAAGTGAAACTTCCGCAAAGTGCACTTTAAGAAGAGGTACTTTTTTGCTTATGAAAAGAAACCAGTGAGTCCTCTAAGAATAAAGTGGAGTATTTTACAGTTAAGCACACGATCTGGGGCAAAGAATTCTGATGTTGCTGCTCTGCTGGTACAGTATGTGGTCTGTTAATACTCTTCTTGTTCCTCCTGCGGTGCTCCTTCGTCAGGTATCACAAAGCCTTCCTGAAGGGGAATAAAACAAGTGCTTTAATGAAAATCTCACATCAAACCAGTTCCTAGCTACTCTGTACGCTCTTTTTTTTTCTTCCTTGTTTTTACTTAGAATAGACACCCTTAAGTCACCATTTACAGTGTCAAGATATATTACCAGAAGAGTTCTTTGCCTCATCTTTGATCTATTTGTTACATACTCTTCATGAAGGGCTAATTTTGTTTGCTGCCTGACTATAATTATGTTATCTGTTCCTTTATTACAGCAAAAAGCTAGGCCATAAACCTAAAGGGGGAAAAAAAAAAAAGTAGAAATGGAGGGAGTCCTGGAAAGCAAACCAGCTTCCAATTACAAGGGAAGGGAGGAACTCTGCAGTACAACTTATACCAGATTACTTACATCTGTGGCATAAAGAATTTCCACAATCCTCTGCAACACTGGATCATTCTCCCCTTCATTCTCCTGGCAGATCAATTCAATGTTCCTCAATTTGCCAAAGTAGAAGTCTCTCTCCTTCTCCAGATCTTCAACAGTAAGTTTCAATACATTGATCTGCCAAAGGGCATCAATAATCATTTATCCACCAAAGACAGAATTCAGCAGTATCTGTTCCAAAGGCAGGGTCCCCACAGTTCTCAGAAGGCTGTTGATATGCAAAGCACTTCAGAAGTAACCAAGACGGGGTGGGGGAAGGGGGACTGTGAGAGGAGGAGAAGGTCTGTTTCTCAAATTGTAATGTTATTGCCACAACAAACACCCAGTCCAACACATGCAACACCACTTGGAAATTCGAAAGCATTATTACACAAAATAGGTAGAGTGCTAACTGCCTGCAGTTCTGCCTAACACATTCTTTCAAGACAGCTCTCACACCGAGGGCAGTCTCAGTTGTATGACAGTCAGCATTTCAGTGAAGCAGCAGCTGCTCATAGCTCCGTTGGAATGCTGCAATAGCTGCAACACAGCTGTGGAAACAGTTAAAAACAGTGCTATGTGTGATATGGCACATGCTAGGTTTAAATGTCTGGGTACTCATGTACTGCATACGGGGTTTCGCTCCTATCAGGAGAGCAAGACCATTATAATGAAGGCTTCTGATTAAGGGATTTTAAACAAGCTTACTAGATTCAGATCATTTTCTTCCATCTGCCTGACCCAGTCATTTCGTGCTATTAAAAACCAAAAAAATCCACATGCAGACCTGCAAAGCAGACAGGGCCGTTTTGGTCAACACACCTGCTCAATCAATCCTGCCGACTCCTCATCTCCTGCCGCCTTTTTGACCATTCCCGAACCAGCTTTGGGAGTTCCTGCGGTCCTCTGCGTAACAATGGGCCTCTGTGGGGCTGCGAGATTAATTCAGCGTTAGTTCCTCTCAGAACACCTTTCTCCCTCCTATCAAGGCACTAGCCCCCTTCCAAACACACTTCAGCAAGTAAGAGTTTGAAGCTACGTTCCTTCACTCTTCTTGACTTCATGTGACGTGTCCGTTTGTTTTTTTGGCACGTGTTGGCACCAATCCTTGCCATTTTATCTCTTAGAGAAGATTGCTCTTTCTGTAGCTTCCAGATAACTGGGTACTACAGGATGACTCAGTGTTTGATGCCTAGCATCTCTGAAACGAGATGCAAAACACTGTAATTTCACACACTGATTTTACATAGCAACCCAGCCTCATTTTCCCCAGAGTTTTTAATGGTCTAGATAATATTTTAACTATTTTCTCTACCTGCACTGCTAGAACTGAGAGATTTCTTGGGTTTGTTCACAACTGGAGCAACAAGGTTTGGTGCTACTGTCTCTTGGCCTTGTCGAGCAGCAACAGGATCATACTCCTTCCCGTCATAGTTTGCATCAAAAAATTTTTTGAACCACTGAACAAATTCAAAGTTGTCCTGAAATTTCCCTTTCACTAATTTGTCCACAGGAATTATCTGGAGAGGGGGGAAGAAAAGAAAAAAAAAAAAGTCAAACTCGTATTAAGGGTAAAGAACCTCTCTTCATATAAAGTTTTAAAATTAGTGCACTCAGGAAGATATGCAAATATAATTCTTTGTCCAATCTAGAGAAAAACCTCCTTGAACAAAACTGTATGTCAAATAGTAAGATTTTTGCTAATAACTGGAGTTAAAAACTACCCATGCTTTCCCTGTCCAAATAATTTTAGATAGTTCTGCAGCAAGGTTTCTGCTACACCAAGCTTCAACACAAAGCTCCTCTAAGTTTGAAGCTGGCTCATTCCGTGCTAGCTCCAGGAAC